AAACTTGCCTAGGCTGATGCCGTTCCAGTGCCAGCCATAGATCGCTGTCACCGGGGCACTTTTTCGGGGAATTGTTTTTAGGGCCGTTCTCACAAGGTCGGATGATCCCCTCTCGCGAGAAGCCTGCACATCGAGAGGCGGCTCGTATTTCGAGAGTCGAGATGTCACGTATTCTTTCCTATCAAGAACATACCATGCCGCTGTCGGCATCAATTAGCCCATTGAGTGTCTTGGTTAGTAAGGTAGTCACTCTTTCTATTGCAAGGTTTCTGGAGTACACCCTGCCTGTGTTCGCAGCATCTGCGAGTCACCTCTCCAGCCCCATCTTTTATTCAGGACCACCTTACGTCCACGTAAACCCCTTCATAAATAGAAAGCGTCAAGAAAGAGTGACCACCAAGGGAAAGACAGAGACGAGCTTGCAGATTGTCTCTAGAGTTTCGTACAGATTTGATATGATGGTGGTTGATCATAGCAACAGCAGATCCAAGTAGATGGCACAAGAGGAGCCTCAGCCATCAGGTAGCCTCCAATTGTATTGGCCATGGCGAGCCGATTATCTCTTTGTATGGTAATCAGTAATGTGTACGGAGAATCTGTAATATGTACGAATAATCTCTGGAGGAGACAAAGCCTTATTTTTGTGGCCAGCCGGTGTGGCTCGGAATCCCGCGGCGGCATTGACTCCAGGGCTTCTCAGGTTGGTTTTAATGCAATGCTCGACCGGCACAGTCCATGGAGGCCACAATACGACCACAGGCGGCAGTTCTTCCTCACATGCATTTATAGGCCAAGCCAACCACCCTTTATCTAGTTCCGTTCAGGTAAGCTCGACCGACAAGACCATTCTTGCCGGCGTGGCTCGTAACGAACCGAGTTACGGCACGGACTCTGAACTTCTAGCATTATTGGAAGTACGCGCAGTTGAGCTTAGGCGTTCTTTATCAGAAAGCTCGTCTCAGATTTGTTCTTTAAGCCGAAGTCTGCATGCTGCAGCAACAAGGTTAACACCCGGGCTCCCGACGCAAGTCCGGGGCTACTGCAGACCTACGGCCGAGGTTGGGAAATATGCGACCAGCGGCGCCTAAGAAGAATTTGCCAACCGCATACTCGAAACAAAGCCCTAGGACTTCGCCCAATAACAATGAGATGTAAGTTGCAACTACCCGAAACTATGTTTGCTTGCAGGGAAGAGTTCGCGAACCACTCAGGATCATGAACAGGCCTACCTTTAGATCGTTCTCCTCAAAGGGCACCCGAGGTCAAGCACACAGAGCATTTCAACACTCCAAGAAGTAGAGACGTATGGTCGGGAGTACGACATTTCATTTGAAGAAGCACCACCCGCTTGACTCGGTATGGAGCCACATGATAGCAGAACTCACACATGCAAGTACAAGTACGCATGGTGTGACTTATTTTGAATTTGAGAAGCCGACTCAGATATTTGCCCGTCTGATAAGTTTTTAGATCCAGGCCATCTCAATTGGTAGTGTCTGATTCGCAGGCAAGTCACAGTGCCGATCCATACAGGAAAACAAAGCTACATGCGTATGCAGTTGGTTGGTAGCGTAGGACGTTGAGCGCCAAATTCATATCTATCAAACAAGCGGCTAACGCGCTTCGAGTGAGATTTCCTCGCCAAAGGCCATCACTCAGAAGATGAAAAGCACAGGAGTATGCAGCGACCCTTGCTGGAATCAGCCATAGCGCGTACATGTTGGACGTTTGTGACACTCAGCTTCTGGCCTCCACTCAAGCTGCTGTCTCGTTCGGTTCAGTAGCCTCATCTGTACTGTGAGGTCGTAGCCTGCATATGAACTTGCTATTTTTGCCTCTGCCTGAGTGGTCCCGGTGTTTTTGGCGCGCTCAAAGTTCATGCTATCTTCTTCTCGCCATCTCTGCATCTGATAAATGGAGCGTGACTCTCCTCGACTTACAACTGATGTCGAAGCACTTTAGTTCATGTTTTAATCACAGTCCAAGATCCCTTTCTCAATACTCGCCAATCTCTGGAAGACTAGCTTCTTTCTATCTACTAGGTACATGGCGTCTACAAGAAGTCAGGCTGAGAGTTGGTCGCAGGGACCTACTCGCACAAACACTCTTGCGCCAGAAGTCCTAGAAATGCAGGAGGATGGAACTCCGAGTAAGAAAACTCAGTACTACCAAGGACGAGATCACTTGCTTACCAAGATATTTGTGACAGAGAAAGCTACCGGCAAGCAACTGTCCGCGATGTCAGCGGCAGAGCCCCCGCCAAAACACTGGGACAAGTTGGATTATCGACCGTTTATTCTGTCCAACGGTGCTCTTTTCAGCTCCTTCATTATAAACTGTGGCATCATAGTAGGTCTATACGTCTTCCTGCAACAAGCCTACTTCGTCGTCAGTACGCCATCTTACTGTGCCTTACTCGCCTCACTCATCATGATCGGAACCTGCACAGTAACACACCTCGAACCCATGCTTCTCAACCTCTTCCGCATGACACCGTTCATCTTATGTGCCCGGAAGCAAGGTGCCACTGCGGGAGAGACAATTCTTCGGAATTATTTTCCAACACCAAGCTTCCGGGATGCATAGGAGACCAAGAACAGTATTTTAATACTCGCCCACATTATCTACTACCCGAGCTATTCCGTCATCGGCTTCAAGTCGGCTCTGTTATACGAAAGCTGGGACGATGAGGACAAACGTCTACATGTCAATGGCTGGGCATGCTTTACTTTGATTGCATTTTACAGCATCATTCAACTATGCATCGTTGTTGTCATCATATATCTCTGGCGCCACAGACTGGGCTGCGATGGGACCCGGTGTCGATAGCAGACTTGTTGGTTCTATTCAGACATTCCAATGTTCTGCGGTACTTTGAGGGATCATTCATTGCAAAAAGACCGTCGATGATACGAAATTTGGAAGATATGCCTATTTATCTCAAGCACTGGCGACGAGAGAACGGAGAATTCTGGCATGGCTTTGGTACTAATACAATTGGCCAGTTCGAGGCTTTCGATTTGCATTTCAAGAGCCGAAACGCTAATTAGAGACTTAGACTTGGAAGATAGCTCTCCTTACATGCGGCCAGGTATTACAGACATGCACCCGAACGGCGAGACCAGTGATGCTCAGCCTCCGGTTGAGTTGCAGCACTTACCATCGAGGGACTCAAATCATCGACGGCACCAGTTCCCGGATGATGCATCTATCTTATCGGGTAAGTTCCGCCAAGTTAAACTGCGTAAGACACGATTCACTGATGATCTTGCAGGTTCTTCAGATGATGCCCAAACTTCTCAGGTCTCAATAGACGCTCTCGCCCTGGTACGCTATAATTCCGCCTGGGCAGTTGCCAAGCCAATTTCTGCCAATTTCCACTTCTCCTTGGCCTTGTTTCTCATGGTTCTATTTATCTTAGTCGTCATCTTTACGCCGTTACTCACGCCAGAAAAAGGTTATTGTTAAGTACCACAACAGCTGTCCCGCAGCTAGGCGAATTTTCTTCTAGACGTTGTTCTTACTACCGCAGTCAGCTTTCTATCTGACTTTTGGGCTGCTTTATCCCTATTTGTGGCTCACACAGAACCTTAAGCGCGCATGTCAATGCCATCGGGATCAGGAGAACTAGCAAAGTCTACCCTACTTCTCAACTATACCTCCTCATTCCTTCCATTCAGGATTTACAATGCATTTACGAACAAGCATTGGAAGCTGACGCGGATCATGTTTTGGGAGCTCCTGCAACGCCTGTTTCCCACACTCATCGGAACCAGCATCATCGTTTACTCTCGAGTCAATAGCGACAGATGTGTAGTCTGTTTCTCAATGCCGCTATTCATTGTCGTCATCGCCGGACTCGCTTTATGTGCCGGTCTCGTCGTATCCGAGCTATATCTTGGATCTGTTTTTCGCCGTACTCCACGAGATTACCTCTCCATCGCAGACATTGTGTCATGGTCCTCAACCAGTCAGCTTTTATACCATGAAGAAAACAGCAGCAAAGTCGACGACTCGAAGTATGACGATCCTCTGAACATTGATGTCCATGGAGAGAAAGGCAAGAGATGGTATATGCAACATAGACTGGAGTTGCAACTGAAACAGTATCATCTTGGATACGCCAAGGTAACCTGTCAGGAGTACTACGCATTCGACATCACAGAAGAGACACCTGAAAAGTTACCAGAGGTGCGATCAAGTAGACTTGCACGTAATTTAGAGTTGAAACGGCAAAGAATCAACGAGATCGAGCTTCCCACGAAGCTCGATATTGTCAGACGTAACGGATTCAAGGCGTTTGATAGACTCATAGCAGAATCCGAGGACACAAAGGTAACGGTTGACGATAAGATAGTGCACAATCATCTGGGAGACGAAGCAGTACAAGCAGATGGATACTTTTAGGGGTGTGGCGTAGTGAAATCACCTTCGTATGGGGTAAGATAGCCCGAGTTGGTAGACAGTTCAGTATTTTAATCTGGGGACTCCCTAACTTGATTCAACGGAAGCAAGCTATGATTTGTAGCTCATCCAATGCTTTACTACATGCCCAGGTTCCAGAGGAGTTCGAGTGAGTCCGAGTGGCGCCCCACTCAAATCCAAGCAAGGACTTGCGTTACAGCAGCTCCCAAATCTCTCTGGTCACAATTGGCTACGACTCAGGCCATCCTTTATTCGATGGTCGCTCTCGTCTAAACGCTGATTCGCTTTTGGCCAGCATTGCATGATGCACATGATCACATGCATTGCATGTACGGGCTTAGAAGAGATAGCGTGTACTAATTCTTACTCGTTGGTCCGGATGCGACTGCGCCTCTACTCACCGAAGTCAGGCTAAGATCACCGTTGAACCTGATCACTATGAGGTGATGCGAACGGGCGGACATAGACAACCAGGCTCTGTTGTTTCCCCGCCATCACCCTAATCATCCTAACTACCTTTATGCTGACCTCTTTATTGTTTCGCAAAGGCAGCTCACAAATACATCTTTTTCGACATGGCGGAAGCGGTTGCAGCTTTTGCTCTTGCCGGCAACGTTCTTCAATTCGTCGAATTCGCGACAAAGTTTGGGAACAAATGCCTCCAGGTTCATCAGGCTGGCGGAAGCGCTCCGAAAGAATTGCGAGATCTTCGGCAACTTGTGAATAGCCAGCATGCTTCTGCGCAGCGATTTCAAAAGCCTAAGCACGAGCACTCAAACTTGTCGTCGGAGGGGTCCGAGATGAGACAGATCTCGGAGGCATGTTCCGCGAAATTCAACGATATTGTGGAGTCTCTAGATCGGATTGGTATTCGGGACAACAAGTCGATGCTTGGGATCGTTGTCAATGCTTTCAAAGCGACTTGGAATGCAAAAACAATTGAGGATCTGAGAAAAGAAGTCGATTCTTTTAGCCAGATTCTGAACACTTCCCTGCTTGGCTCTTTGAGGTAGGAATATGTCACTCCCGCGACCTGGACCATAGCGTGGTCAAGCAAGCTCTTGCAACAATGCTGGGCCGCTAATATGATTGAGGGCATTCTTTTGTGCTAATAAATCGCGGTGCATCATAGAGATTACGCTGCGAAGTCAGAAGAACAACAAGCTGTCATTCTACAAAAGCTCGATCTCGTCCAAGACCATGCCGGGACATTCACAAGTACCTCCCGTGTGCAAGATGAAGATACTACCTGGAATGCACCCGGCGATGCGCTCATTGCCTCCATTGTCAGTTCTCTCAAAGCTGAACCTCCAGAGCGTCTTAAGAGGGCCAAAGAACTTCGAAGTGGTATCCTCCAGCGGATTCATTCGGACTCGACGGGTACTAGGGTGGGTGATGCTACGGACTCGAGCTTTCAGCCAATGAACCTGTCTCAGGATCGCGAAACACAACTTCAGGCTACGTTTTTAGCAAGCTTTGTCTACAGATCCATGGACGATCGGCATTCAGGAATCATCAACGCTCACAAGGAGACATTTCGGTGGATATTCGAGCGTCGTTCAAACGATTCAGACAAGGATGAAAAATGGTCAAACTTCGATGACTGGCTCAGGTCCGATGATCAGCTCTACTGGATTACGGGAAAAGCTGGTTCCGGAAAGTCAACGTTGATGAAATACATTTGTGGCTCGGCCTCAGAGAACGAGGAGAAAAATCATGAAGAAGAGCTGACAACTCCATTCGAGCGATGCCAGGAGGGCCTACAGGAGTGGGCTGGAGGCCGATCAGTGATAATCGCGTCCTTTTACTTCTGGGCCTCCGGGAATGAGTTAGAAGCGTCTCCAAAAGGTCTTTACCTGTCTCTCATATTCCAGATCCTCCAGCACTACCCGGAACTGATACCACGCGTGGCACCTACATCTTGGGAAGCAATGTCTTTGTTTGGCGAGAAGCCTCCCCCGATGACAGAACCCGAGCTGGAAGCTCTGCTTCGGCTAGTCGTACTGGAAGCTCAGAAAGAACGAAACATTTGTCTTTTCATTGATGGTCTTGACGAATTTTCGGGCGAGTCAAACAAGCTCATTGATCTGATCGAGATTATCCTTCGCTATCCAAAGGTGAAGGTTTGCGTCTCTAGTCGCCCTTGGCTTGTCTTCGAGGATGCGTTCCAGAACAAGCCAAGCCTTAAGCTAGAGGACTTGACTTACAAAGACATCAGATGCTACATTGCTGAGAACTTCGCTGAAGATGCGGGATATCGAAGACTAGCAATACGAGAGCCCCAGTACGCCAGTCAGCTAGAGGACAATATCGCACAAAAAGCTATTGGTGTCTTCCTCTGGGTCAGTCTGGTAGTCAAATCACTCCTATCGGGAATGAGGAACGACGACAGAGTATCTGACATACAGAGAAGGCTTGACCAATTGCCACAGGAGTTGGAGAGTCTTTACAGCTCTTTACTAAACTCACTGGATCCATTCTACTTTGGACACGCAGCACAGTATTTCAGACTTATGGAAATTTGGGGGTCACCAGACGCTATTCTGCTATCGTTTTCCGACGAAGACATCAAACGCTCCATTCAACCCCCTATTCGCGAATACTCACAAGCTGAATTGAGTGAGCTAGTCAATACCATTCGTCGCAGAATAAATAGTCGCTGTCGAGGGCTGCTTGAGGTTACATCACCACGCCAACTGAAGGGGAATATTCGCGACTTTGGATCCGTGCAATACTTCCACAGAACTGTGAAAGATTACATTTCGACTCCGCAGATTTTTGCCAAGTTTCGGGAGGCTACTCCAGACTTGGATTGTCAAATATGTATTTGTTCTGCAAATCTCTTGGCCTTCAAGACTGTCGTGATCAAAGACGGACGCGCAGCTGTATGTGGTATTGATGACGAACACGGAAACGGTTTGAAGGGCGGGTATCAAGAGATCGAAAACCTTGACTTTAACGATATGTCAATATACGCCTGGAATTGCCTGAGAGCCGCGTCGAAAACAAGACAAGAGAACACAAGTGCGATGATAGTTTTGCTTGACTCTCTATGCCAGGCATCTGAGAACATGATTGGGAATGACAAGGCTCGGCTCGAGAGCTTTTACAACCGGGTTGAACCACAAAGCACGCATACTGAAGACCATACCATGAAGGGCTCTAGCTTCTTATCTCTCACGGTACGGCTTGGAGTGACGGAATATGTTCGGGGAAAAGCTTCTTTTGGGTGTGTGGTACCGTTCTTCTCCCGTGGCATCATGAGAACGACGAAAGTATCGCGTATCAAATCCTTCGTGCGTACTCACCGCTTAGCAAGAAGTTACACCATGATCCAAGCCGGAGAAGAGTTTTTCTACTGGCCATTACTGATGGACTCGCTCTCCCAATACTGCCCCAAGTTGGACATGGTTAGCCTGTGTCTAGAAAAAGGCGCTGATGTCAACTTTAAGGTCTACCGACGAGCAGGCAACAGCCGTACTGTCTGGGAACACTGGATCGACCGTTTGATGAACGAAATCAAAAATGACGCCGGACCAAGGAAGCCTATGACACGCGAAGCTGTCATTGAGCGCCTGAAGCCGATTTTGCCTGCAACGAAAAAGCTGATCGAAAATGGGGCGTGTGTACACAACGTCATCGCAATCACAAGAACGGGAAAGTATCGGGAACTTCCAAAAGACCGTGACGCAAAAGCAAAACTTCTTTATGACGTATTACGGAATCTAAAGAGAGAAGAAACATAGAGACAGTGACTGACTTTACAACTGTCATATGGATTGACTGGATACCTAGGTACCAGGCTTGCAACTGAATAAAGGGCACCTACCTTACTACAAACTCATCTTATCGTACCAAAATCTACTTCCAATGCGTTTGGGTGAAAGTTATGGAGATTCGAACGGCGTTGAAGGCACGTTAGACCTCTTGACCAACCCCGACCTCATCCGGACCCGCCCCACATCCAACCTCCGTGACCCGGTCCGAACATCAGTCGGGACCCACCCACATCCGCAACCCAGCAAAACGATCTCATCCCAGCGATCTCCTCCATCAAGATCCCATCAAACATGCGGATGTCCTCTTCAACTTACCCGGCGTCAATCCCTCGCTCGTTCCCATAAATAGCATCCCATCCCCCCCCCCCCCCCCCCTCCAAGAAAATAGAATGATTCTCCGTCATTACAAAAGCCACCGCCCGGCGTCCGGTATATGGCGTCCCGGCAATGCACCTGCCCGTCCCCGTTGCCACATCACGCCCGCATATCCCCTCCCTTTTCCCCTCTCGTCCTCAGCCTCGTCTTCATCGGTCATTGTAACACTTGACATCTGTCACATTTCCCACTTACCTACCCGTACCCAAACCCTCAGCTCAGCTCCGACGACCATGGCCAAGATCCCCCTCCCATCCCCGTCCGCCACGACCCGTTCCGAAGTTGAAACCTGAGTAGTCACATTTCGCAAAACCGCCGGAAATTCTTAAGCCTGCCGGAAGAGAATAGGAACAGGAAGAGACACCCATCCATCCCGCTCGCTTCTCACCTCCGAGCCCTCCGCACGGCGAGTTGCTTGCATCCCATACCCCCTCCTCTTCCCCGGAGCCCACCTCATCCAAACGATCTCCCAGTCTTTGCCATCATGTTTCATCAGCCGCAGGGAACCCTAACAACGCAAGCCATCAACGCCTCCCGAATTCTCCTCTCGCCTGCACCTACCCTCTTCAAATAGACCTAGGCCTGTCAACCCGCAAAGAAGCCCATATCCTTCCCGTAGATACTTTAACCGCAGATCCAGTACCTAAAGTGATCAACTACAACAACCGCCGCGCCGGAGCCAGACTCCGCCACTCCTGCCCGGATGATTGGCACACACTGACTCCCGCCGAACTTGAAGCTGCGCCACCACACTCAACACACTCAAGGAGGAAACCGAAGGAACCAGCACAACAGCCGGGCCGAGTATCTACTTTACATGAGTACTTGGATCAAGGAGACAGCAAAAATTGCAAAAAGAGGCAACCAGCAGCACAATCTGCAAAGAGCCGCCTTCACATCCTCACTTCCCCCCACCAAACCCGGTTTGCCCACAAGGCCTGACATCAAAGTATCTCTCTCCATCTCCAACCTCCCACTCTCTTTCCAGCGAAAGTCGCGGCGACCTGCATCTGAAACACGTGGCGTCAAAACGCCCACAACCCTCTCTCACTACAGCCCCCCCGCCCAGCGCCAGACACCGAATCCAGTCCTCCAAGAGCCGCCACAATATACCTTGCGCTTCTCTGATCCCATCTCCGATGTAATCATAGCCGTCGCAAGTCTACAAGCATGGAAGCATGGTAATCTATCCATCCCCTCACCATGCAATGCACGACGCGCACCTGTCATCGGCAGATGTAGGAAAACCAATATACCAAAACGCACGCCAAAAAGATGACGGCTACCGAAGCGATACCGATAAAGTAGTAGATACCAATAACACATCCCACCCGTCATCCATGCAGTACTCTCGCGCGGGGCAGTCGGCAAGACTAGCAGGCTACCTTAGCTACCTACTTCCCCCGGGCGATGGGCCACTTGCCGCGGGGTAGTTGGGCCCCGGCGATCGACAGGGTTACATCCGTCGCGATCGCGACGCGCTGAACAGAGGTATGAAGCGAGGGGTCGGATTGCAGCTTAGAGGAGGGGAGGAGGGGGGGACGTCGTGGTGCCCCAATATGCCCAGCGGCTGACGAAATGCGACAAGCTGACTTCTCCGCTCTACGAGGCACACCACGCTGGGCTTCATACGAGGCATACATCACAAGATGGCGTGAATCAAGACACGAACACGAGCGCGAGAGCTTGGGATGAAAGGTAGGTATTCAAGTAGGTTTATTTTCGGCCACCATGTGATGGCAGCCTATCCACCACCCAATACCAGCCGCTCACAACTCAAGGCTGGAGGCTCAAAACTGCGACCAAAGACGGTCACAGCAGCGCTCGCCAATGTGGCAGAGCTCAAATCAAAGAAACAAGTCTGTACAATATGGCTGGGCTCGGTCCTACCGTAGCGCCGAGCTTTGCGCCTGTGAAACGCCCAAGTAAATCCAACAAAACAGGCTGCCACTTTATCCCGTGGGCCTGGGTCTGCAACTCCGGTGCGGTTTCCCCCCAAGTCTAATATTTTTCTCCCTCTTTTTGAACACTCCTTTCAGTGGCTCCATATGTTTCTCCCGAAAGAAGGAAAATATCTACAGGCCTTGCAGCGCCACCATGGGCGCTTGCTATTTTAGACAATAAGAGTACTAAATAATAAACATAAACAATAAGATTTGTGGTGGTTGAAACCAAAAAGAAGACACAATAAAAGGAAAGGTTGGTTCGTAAGATGTCGTAAGACGTGGCCTAGTCGAGGCGTGGTGGTAAAATGAGCGACGATAGTCGGGTATCTTGTGGGAAGAATGGATTCAGGAAAAAAAAAGATGGTGATGTTCGATGTGAGCGAGGCGCTATCATCATCGTTCCTTCGGGGTCGTTAATCGTAACAGGAGATCTTTGAGCTGCCAAATCCGTGTTCGGAGTGTAGGCGCAGATCATGTATGTGAAGGGGCTATCTGACTAAAGATTGCATGCATCATCTGCGAATGCCAACCTTTTCAGCCAAGCTGCGCCAGAAACGGCCTCCCTTGCGCTCCTCGCTCCTGGAGCGAATCATCTTCGTGTCGCGCTCCATAGGCCCGACAATATCTTCGTCGCCACGCTCGGGGAACTTACCCTCAGCATCAATAAGTCGAGGGATCGCGGTGGGGAGACCGTCTTCGAGGCGACGCCATTGCATGCTAGCAAAGGCATCGTCTTGAGTAGGTCTGCGCAGTATGGCAGAGCCGCCACTGCTGGCGCGAACGCGACCACGACTGCGGCTGCGGGAGCTTCCCGGGCGTTGGTTGCTTGACTTGTTGGCAGCCGCAATGCGCTCCATCGTCTGCTCGTGGAAGGTTCGCCAATTCTTCTCAGTCTCGGCCCACTTCGCCTCAGTGAGCGCATAGATCTTGGAAGTCTCGCTATAGTTTTCGCCGGTTCGCACAAGGTGCTTGGTGTAGCTGACGCGAGCGGCTTCCCAGTCGGCTCGCAAGAGCCGGAGAGTTTCCATGTCAGCCTCCACCGGCTGGTAAGGTTGCGGAGTAATGGTGAAGTTGGCATGCCCAAGGCGATCCGACCACTCGTCGTGGTCCTGTACAATAGAAGGGAATCCAATGGGCAGCTCTTGGCTCGCTTGAACGTGGCGGAAAGAAGACACTGACGGCTTCGCGCTCAGGGAGGGTGTAGAAATCTGAGCAATCGGCTGAGGGGAGGGGATCTCCAGTGAGAGCGTTGACGGATCCACGCTGGGAGACTGAAGAGGGCTGGGATGAGGGACTTCTGTCGGTGGGCTATTCATCAAGAGGGGCGGAAGCAGAGGGGTCGCGGCGAGGGCCCGGTCACGCTCGATGCTTTCTCTCTCGTTGTTGGCCTTTTCTATGTCGATGGGAGCTGGAGATTCCACACTTTCGCTACTTTCCCAAAAGGATGTGGCGGGAGTAGGGATCGGGTATTCATTGAGCCTGTCGAGGATCTGCCGTGTAGGGCCAGACAAGGAGGAAGACCGACTCGATGATGCCGCGCGAGAAACAGAATGAGCGTTCTCAAACGTCAGCTCAGTAGTAGGCGACGCAGTCAGCTGTGCCCGCTTTGTAGACTTCCATCGCGAGAGCTGTGGGAATCGTGACCCCAAACGTGTAGCCAAGCCGGAGAAAGGGGATTCGGTTCCACTCCTCTTCCTATCCAACGTGGATGTAAAATCGCCATCACTGGAAAATCCAAGGTCATAGTCGATATCAAACCCGGCAGGGTACACGCTGTTGAGCGTCTCAGAGCTCTCGTGGTGGATGCAAGGCTCGTCACCTATTTGCTTATATTAGTGTCGAGCGAGTTGGCAGGAGCAAATACCGACTTACACAAGCAGTTGTACAAATCGAACGGCTCGGCCAATATAGTGCTTTCGTCGAGTTCGTCTCGCTCCAATGGTTCCTCTTGCACATCAGGAAGCGGCCTTTTGGAGGATTTTGTGTGGATAGTTGATGTTGGCGAGGATGGGCTTTCGTTGATGCAGGTGGGCGGAAGGTCAAGCGAAGAAGATGAGCTGGAGTAGCGTAGATGCCCCCTTGTTGAGAAGGTAGGCGTGACGGGTGATGCAACGTCGGAAGACGAGGAATTAGTCGTGTAGTAAACGTACTGTCGGTCCATTTCGCCTTCTGGGAATTCGGGCTGTTGCTCTTCGAATTTGCGACGCTCTTCAACAAGTTGAGGTAGCAGCAATGGCTTCAACCTGGGAGACATGATGTCTGCCCGAAAAGTTTGGAGTATTTAGCAACGGTGGGAGACGATTCTGTACGGTTACTATTGCGTCAGATGTCGGGGATAGATGTCGGGGGGCTTTGTGTCGTTTGGTTATATCTCAGCAAACGCGGTGGGGTAGCCAGACGTTGGGTTTAACAGCGAGATGCTGCTACTGCGGTGATGATGAGATGAAGCAAATGTGTTGTACCAGGTATTCTTATCCGATGTCATTCCAGGTACACATTCGTTTGGTATCCGATTCAAGTCGTGTAAGGTTGCCGTTATTGTCGCGAAGTGGGTGTGTTGGGGTTTGGTCTGGTGTAAGTACTCTTTGGGGCGTACTTGGTCGTTATCGACGCCACTCAGATGGTTCCTGTCAGCCGGATCTTCCCACTCCACATTCTCGTGATCCTGTACTGGCTGCTTATGTTGTCTCTCTTTCCCCCAGCCGACAACAGCGACGTGGCGTTGTGCTGTTTCGAACTCTTTTTTTTCTCCCCCTCGGAGGCGGTGATGGTTGTCGTGACTGAACGAGTGAGGGCAGTGTAGAAGCGCCGTGGAAATGCCCTGGTTTTCTCCAATGAAGTGAAATCAGATGTTCGAGCCGGCCGTTTGTCAAGGGCGGTAAGTCGTCCCACGTGTACGAAACTGGTGCAGGGTACCTCGGCCTGTCTGGCGGTGGTTGGGCGTGAGTGTGCTGGTACTGGGGGTCCAGCAGGAATTTGGTTATGCGTGCGTTGTTGTTTCCTCGGTGCAGATGCCTCCTCTTCCAATCAAATGGGGGTGACGATGGACCCAATGCGACACTTGACTTGATAGCTCCGGGTCTTGCTGCAGGGCACACACGTGAGGGGATGACAGCGTCGTTGAAGGGTCGCGGGGGATGGGGGTTCGTAACGCAAAGGTCCAGACGTGAGGTGAGGCGGTCGTCGATATATGAGGCCGTGGAGGTGTTGCTGGGTTAGACAACAGAAGAAGTCTAGAGTTCAAGAGGGGATCGAACGACTGGCGACGGGTGCTAGCTTATGGTTTGCGACAAGTGACTATGCTTCTACGGGAGAAGAGATGACGGACGGAAAACAAGTCGACACAAGACCAGACCAGACGGCGATGGGTTCCCAGCCAGGTGATATTTCCCACAAGGAGGGTGGGAGAAGAAAATGTTTGGACAGGACAGACGGGTGGCAGTCGGCAAGGAAGACAAGGTAGAGAGGCAAGGCAGGGTTCGATGTGGACGCGGTACAAGGTACTGCGCAGTGGGCGTGGGTCCGGACGGAGGGGGTGTGTGCGAGTTTTTAGTTTTTTTTTTGCAGCGACGGCAACGAAGAAAAACGAAGAATGGGAAGACTTTCAAGACACCGAGCGAACTGCGTGGGCGAAGTGGGCGAGGGAAGTGGAGAAGAGGTACCCAGAAGGAGCAACCGGAGCAGGGGGTATGAAGTCAAAGGACCGGGGGGTGTAGAGGACGGTGGCCGGGAGCTAGGATGGAAAGGCTTGGTGAGAAGCTCAAGCTTACCTTCCTTGTCTTAGCTAAAAACCCAACCTAAGATCCAAGCTAACTTTTCTGTGTGCTTACCTCTTGTGTTTTTTCCTTGGAGGGCAGGAGGGCAACTGGGGTCTGGAGGGGAAGCGGGAAAAAACAACCTTGGACACCAACCACAAGTACCTACTTGAGGGCGGTACGTACTTCTTTTACCTGACTGAATGGGCAACCTGCAGCGGACACCGATTGGGAAGGAATGTAAGGTAGAGACAGCGAACGATACGTATCCTTCAGAGCCTTTCTTTCCTTACCTTACCTCAAGGTACCTTACGTTCTGGACCTTCTCGCCCTGATCCCGGTCAAAAGAGGAGGTATCCAAGTACTGTACGAAGGTACAAGCATGGTGAGGTCAGGCAAGGAAGGAAAGGAACGAACTGGTGCAATGTGCGATGGATGGGAGGAAGGAAGGAAGGAAGGAAGGCCAGACCTTCTTGCCTTACTTTCCTCTCCTTCAGTGTAATTGCAGAGTATATTGCTGGATGTGATGGTGGGGAGAAGGAGGAAGCCGCTGTCTATCAATACCTTACCTTAGGCAACTCCCATCAAGTCAGTCGAGAATGGCAGGAGCAAGGTCGGTTGACGAGGTTGACAAAGAGCAGGAACGGAGGAGGAGAGGAGGTACGTCCTGTTGGTTTAGTCATTTTGGCTGCACCTTTGATGGGAGTCATCGTTGCACACTTTTCCCTCACCCCCCAGCCAAACCCCACGATAGACGGCGGATACTGCAACTCCGCCCTTTTAACCACCGTGCTATCTTACAGATACACACAACTCATCATCATCAAGACACTTGCAATTTTCTACCGACATAAATGAGAATACGCTTTCGCTTCTCTTGCGTCTTGCCTCTGCCCCCCCGAGACGGGTTTGCGGGACGGGGATGCACGGAAACTGCTGCAACAAGGCGCTTCTGTCGTTTCGTGCTATCCTTTCTTTTCTTGTCTTTCTTTGTCTCTCCTTTTTTCCGACTCTCTCGGCACGGTAACCCCCCGTCTCTTTTCAAAGTCACTTCCCACACGGGTGGCCAAATCTCGAGGCAAAAGAAGAAAACAAGGACCCTTTCTGTGAGGAGTCCGCCCTCCGGTTCTCTGTGTCAACAACAAGTTCGCCCGCAGCCCAACTACGGAGTACGCAGTGCCTACCCAGCGACCCGTTCTACGCCAGATGCAGCTTAACCTCATCCCCTGGTCCGTGTGTCGCCGTCGACTAGGCCCAAGGCCCCAAGTCTCATTGTGGAGGAAGAGAGTGGAGGAGCTCCCTTAAGCGTCTCCATGCCATTCTCTCTGCCTCTCTGCCTCCGCCTCTGCTGCTGGGTCGATTGGTTGACGCGGCGGTCAGAGATCTCTGCCTCAAAGACGGCCCAAGCCTTCTGGGAATCAGGGTTTTGCGCTGTGCCCTAGGTATACCGGAGCCACGTTCTTATGTTGCATGTTCGTTTGCGGCTCGCGGCTTGCCCTCGGCTTTTCGACGTTGGCGGGGGACTTCCCTTGGAATGGCGAAAATACGTCTTCGTACCGATACCAGCCAAGGTATACGGAGTATTGAGAGGCTTTTTCAACGAGTTTTCCCACCACTGCGGCAAAGCCATTCGATAGAGTCATGCTCTTGTTGTCAGTCCACGCCGTTGACACCTGCTACGGCTGATGTCCGTCCCGATATTCAAGACAAGGACGATATAGAGCAAGACATACGGCTGACGTGACTCTCGCGTTTCCACGGTGGCTGGCTTAGTCCACTGCCTAGAGAGACTGAACCTGACTTTGCGACGAGAGGGAGGCGGTTCTCAAACCACTTAAGCTGCGTCACTGCTATGCCAACGGCATGGCAGAGCGCGGTGCGCAAAGCTAGCCCGCTAGCCTCGCAAAGGTAGTTCGGGGGTTGTGGTGTTGTCAGTCAACCAACCCACAATACTAAGCACCATTGGTGACATTCTGCTGACACCAACGATGCGTGACAGAGACTCCGGAGCTTTCAACCACCTGCTCTGCCATTATGACGGGTACTTGACGCTGCCGATTGCCTGATGGCGCCCTGTACAGTTACCAGGTGCCATACAGAAGCAGGATGATGCCATTGGCGAGGTCTCTCATCATCTCCCGGCTATTCTACAGCCAACTCTTATGCATAGGACGTCGCAGAGCAGACCTTGCGGCAGCCAACCATCAGTCAAATTCTCAATATCCATACGGAGTACATCGACCTTCCTCTCTGTAATCTTTGCAGCCTCTGCAGTCTGCACAACAGTTGAGCGGCTGCCAGTCCATCGACAACAACGTTGCTGCAGCGGAGCGACGGACACCAGTGGACATGCGCCGGTCAATGGCAGAACAGACAGGGGGAGCGGGGCAGGGTTCAGGGCATCTCCCCGCCCATCTTCTGCCCGCCAAACCTGGCTTTCACGTTCTTCATTGCTGGGAATGTTGGAGCCTCAATGCTCAACATTGGTTTGACTTTGAGGCATCTTGTTGTAGCCTGTAAGTCTTGGGTCACACACGCATTCAGTTGATGGCTACGGATCGTATTCCTCCAGACTTTCCTCAACGACTCTTTCGTCGCCCCCTCTCCTCCCCTTACGGTCCGCAATTCCTCGTCCGGCAGACATCACAGTAACTCGAACCACGAATCAAACCTCTTCTCTGCATCCACCCATTGTCTGTGACGGCATGCCCTCTTGCCGCTTCGGCCTAGGGTCCGCCGTCTCTTTTGCCCTGCTTTGGCACCGCCTCTGTTGTTCCGAGAACACTAACCCCGATTCCGTTTCGTTTCCTTCGGCATCAGGGATCATAGCTCGGCTTCCTCACTTTCCCTCCCCTTGTCTGTCGGCTCGATCAGGGTACCAGGTTCAGGTCCAACGTTTTCCTCTGCCTTAGCTGGGATTCCAGAAACGGTCAAGCGTCTTTGCACAAGGTCCTCTCATCCCTGGCACCGGTTGTGCTCCCCGTTGGCCGGAGTAGAGCTCGCGGGAGACGTTTGCGAGTCGCCAGCCACTGACAGCTAGATGGACAATGGCCGACGTGCACCGCGGTTGAACCAGAGATACATCCACTATTTCACGGCACGCTCTACTGGGACAGCTACGTTCTGGGCCTCTTCTCTCTCCACCCAAATGGATCCTGCTTTGCTGATTTTGGGTCCGGCTCCAAGAGCCCGGTGGACCTGACAGTTGACGAAGACACTTGAGCATGGCTCCGGCGGATCTGCATAACTCGACTGTATTCGGTTGCTGCATTATGCATGCACAATAATCTGGCTATTACGAGGTCAACCGTCACAGTCGCACTTGCCCCGATGATAGGTTGCCGACCGGTTCTGCCCTTCAATGTCAGCCACCTCAAAGGTCTATCTTCCCAGTGTAATCGCCAACGAGCAGATGATTTTATTAGGTACGCAGACAGGGAATATCTCAATACTCTGCCGCCCGAAGTCGGCAAACAGGGAACGAGAGGCTAAGCCTGGA